TATGTAAAATTTAGAAAATCTTAAAATTAAATCACGTGACCAGAACTATCACCAATGGCAGAGCAGTATACTGGTCACGTGTCTCCGCCTGTATCACGTGACCACTTTACTGCACTGCCATTGGTGGAATGTCTGGTCAAGCAATACGGACGTATAAATAATATTATGAATTAAATCTATAAAAAAAAGAAGAGAGCTTGATGGTAAATACTGTAATGGGCACATTTGTAGAATGTCAAGTTGATAGTTAAGATATCTTTCAAAATTTCCAAGCTTTTTAAAAATGTTTTCAAAAGATGCAGGAAGAATTTTATGTGTATATTTATACATAAATATAGCTTGGTTAAAGTCTACCAGATCATTAATCTTTAGAATCTTATACTTAAGGAAAAGAGGATCACTATGAGACGTGGCTTTTGAGTTATCAATTAATCTTATTGCTCGTTTCTGTAAAACGTGAATTTGTTTCATTTCTGAACATTTGTTTCTTCCCTGCAGGCTGAAATTCCATATTCTATAAATGATCGAAATAAAGAGTCGTAGATGGTTAGTTTAATATTACTAGGAAGAATATTTTTTACACTTGACAAAGCAAAAACTGCACTGGATGCTTTGTTTTTAACCGACTTCAGATGATGATTTCAGTTAAGATTTTCGTCTAAATGAACACCTAAAAACTTAAAAGATTCGTTTTTGCATCCAGTTCCTACTCTTTCTTTATCTTTATTATCTATTTAAAGTTTAAGAGAGGTGATACATCTTCTTTTTTATTTTTGAACAGAATATATTTGGTTTTATCCGCATTCAAAGTCAGTTTGTTTGCTTTAAACCAATCTTCTATTTTAGAGAGCTCAAAATTTGCCAAATCATATAAGTCGTGTAAGCTTTTTGAAGAAAGTTGCAGTGTTGTACCATCAGCAAAAAGAATTGTAAAAAATTTTGATGCTTTAGGAAGGTCATTGATAAGAATTAAAAATAAAATTGGTCCTAATATCGACCCTTGTGGTACACAACAAGAGATTTCTATAAGTGAAGAGTCAACACCCTGATTGAAGTAAATTGTTTTCTTCCATTTAAATAAATTTTGAACCATAAGTTAGAAGTCCCACGAAATCCAAAGTGTTCAAGCTTGCTCAGTAGAATGTCAACATCACAGGTATCAAAAGCTTTAGTTAAATCTCTTAAAATTCCCAGTTTATATTCGGATACAGGTTTATTTACTGGTACAACTTTGTGTCCTCGTAGCTCCTCTTGTTCCGCCTTTACGCAAGTAGGAGAAAAGCAAATTTGTTTGTTACATTTCAGAATTTCAAAACATTTGTGTTCCTAGAAGAGCTACTAGGTCGCAAAGTCGCAGCAGTAAATTCACAGAAAAGCAAAGGTTAAGGCGTAATTAATGACACGTTAAAGATGTGATCTCTGTTAAAAATTGTGTGTAATCATATTTTTGTACCTGAAATAGGTTTTGCAAAAAAACAACTCAGTTGTTACCAAAAGGCATTTTCTTTAACATTTTTTGGACACCATTATTATTTGATTGTTTATGTATATTGTATTTCCATTTATATCAATGTATCAATGTTGAAAAGATTGTATTTTATGAAGGATATAAATATTCATTAAATTTGCATAATTTGCAACATTAAATAGGAAACACCCAGTTTAGAAATGCAGCAATGCTTAATTAGTCATTATTTAACACAAAAATATCTAATTATTTGCGAATTACACATGTTTAATATGTTTTTTCTCTATATATCTATTTATCATCCCAGTCTAATAGTTGCTTGATCTGAGCCGATACAACACGTACTGTATATACTGTCCATTGTACTGTATACTGTATATACTGTCCAATGTACTGTACTGTACATACTGTCCATTGTACTGTGCTGTTTATACTGTCCATTGTACTGTACTGTATATACTGTTCATTGTACTGTATATACTGTTCATTGTACTGTATATACTGTCCATTGTACTGTGCTGTTTATACTGTCCATTGTACTGTACTGTATATACTGTCCATTGTACTGTACTGTATATACTGTCCATTGTACTGTATACTGTATATACTGTCCATTGTACTGTACGGTATATACTGTTCAATGCACTGTACGGTATATACTGTCCATTGTACTGTAATGTATATACTGTCCATTGTACTGTAATGTATATACTGTCCATTATACTATTCTGTATATACTGTCCACTGTACTGTATACTGTATATACTGTCCATTGTACTGTACGGTATATACTGTCCATTGTACTGTACTGTATATACTGTTCATTGTACTGTACTGTATATACTGTCCATTTACTGTACTGTATATACTGTCCATTGTACTGTTCGGTATATACTGTCCATTGTACTGTACTGAATATACTGTTCATAGTACTGTACTGTATATACTGTCCATTGTACTGTACTGTATATACTGTTCATTGTACTGTACTGTATATACTGTCCATTGTACTGTACTGTATATACTGTTCATTGTACTGTACTGTATATACTGTTCATTGTACTGTACTGTATATACTGTCCATTGTACTTTACTGTATATACTGTCCATTGTACTGTACTGTATATACTGTCCATTGTACTGTACTGTATATACTGTCCATTGTACTGTACTGAATATACTGTCCATTGTACTGTACGGTATATACTGTCCATTGTTCTGTACTGTATATACTGTTCATTGTACTGTACTGTCAAGTCAGGCTAGCCAGTGTAGAGTCGACCCAGCACGTATTGTGTAACAAATATAGCCTGACAAGAAAATATATTTGGTTTGTAACTGTGCATAGTTTGTTTGGGTGCCTCTTTGTTCATTTTGCTCTTTATGTATTCCCTTTATGTTCTTATTCAGTGGCGTAACTAGGGGAGGGGTCGATTTTTGCCCCCTCCCCCCCAGCAAATTTCGCCCCCCCCCACTCACTTGACTTCAGCATGAACATGATTGTGGACCATCTTTTGTCAATTAAGAAAAAATACCAACATTTTTCTTTAGCATAATTTCTGATAGAATTTTTAACTATTTTCTCGTTTTCGACTTACAGAAAGTCAGTAATGCTTAATGTATCCTCTCTAAAAAAAACCTGTAAATATGTTAGAATAACAAGAAATATAATACGAATTATAAGAGGACTAAAAGAGGAAAACAGGGTATGCCCGGCCCTTACTGGCAATCAAGGACAGAGGGACTTCGATCAGAAAGACTATTATGGCTTATAGACAGACGAAATATATAGTCAAGTACTGCCAGGAACTTTCACTATTCATAGAACTTATAGCTTGAGTCTAAAAGTCGTCTTCATATTCCAGAGTTTTCTGATTATCACTGTATTAGTATTTGTGTGTGAAAGTTTGAGGGAAAATCTAATGCAGGGTGTCCCAATGAACATGGGAAATGAGTGGCGACTTTTTTTTCGTCTATGATCCATGTGGCATTTTTTCATGAACACAATTATTGCAGTATTCCAGTTTAAACAACTTATATAGAAAACGTCTGGCCTTGAGATTTTCCAAATGTGGTCTACCGTTTTTTTATCTTTAAAATTGACAGACGTATTACAAAATTTAAAATTTCAATTTATTTAATCGATGAAAATTGTCTAATAAAATATCTAATATTTCATCTATTTTTAAAACATAAGAAAGGTATATATAAAACAGAATTTATAGTTTAAAATATCTAAGGTTTACGACATTTCTTTGCAAAGAATTAGGGGATTATAAAATCAGAGTTTGTTGCAAACACTCAATTCCTTCCTTTGCTTTTCTAGTACTTCCTAGAGCTACGAGGTCACAAAGTTGTAACGTCTCCTTCTGTCTAGTTGAGTGTAATGAAGTATAAGATATAAAAATTACATTATAAGATTAGTTATTAAAAAGCTGTATTAGTATATAATTCTAGAAATCATTTTCGAGTTCATAAGTACAAATAGTACTTACTATTTTACTTTTTCAATCAAAAATTATCATTTTTAAGTCAAAGACAAAATGAAAAACATTCCGAATTTATATATTTAATATAATTTTCTGAGTGAAAGTTTTTTAATTAAAAAAAAATTCTTATTTAAATTTTTTAAAGTTTTTAAGTTTTTTGAAAAGTTGAAAAACGGAGTTTAGCTTTCAAATTCAGTCCAAAAATTATAATTGAATATTAGTTTAACCCTATTCCTGCTAGGGGGAGGGGGGAGGGGGTCAACCTAGCTTTTATGCGAACTGCATGAATTCTTAAGGCATACTCCCTTATTCTGAATGATTACTTTTTCCTGTACCAAACTAAATCTTTGTTTTGACCCACGTTCAGTTATTTAGATTTGAAATTTTTTAGCTTTTTGAAAAAACTATGACATAAGGAAACGGATTGCACAAGTTTTGCAAAGAAATTATTTGCACACAACCCATCAAAAGAAATTTGCACAAATTATTAGTGTTTCCAAATGGCAAATCAGATTATTTAAAATTTAAATGGCGTGGTCAAATGTCCCAAAAATGATAAAACACACATTTTTAGGGTTAATAAATTTGCTCATCAGCAATTTTTTAAGGGAATGTCAACGTCTGGAAAAAAAATATTCATTCCAAAATTACTGAAAAGTACACTTTGAGATAGAAATACCGAACTTACGAAAACATTTCGAAAATAAAAAGATGTTGTTTTAAGTTATGAATAAAAAGAGAGAGAAGTATATTTGTGAATGTGAGAGTGAAGGAAAGAACTTTTCTTTCAATATAAAAATAAACACTGATTTCAATGCTAATGAAATATCTCTTTGGCTACCTTATAACAATAAGCTAGGATTATATTCAAAAGATTTATTTTTTATATTATTTACAAATTAAATTTACAAATATACAAAAGTAAAAAAAATTGACTCTATTTTGGACTTTAAATCGGCTTTTCCAACCTACATAAACTTGATTTTAATACTGTATTATTTACAACTACTTAGCACAAAAGTTTCTAAAACGCAAACTGTCTTATTTTATAAAAAAAAATAGCTTTTTAGACAGAAATAGTAACTGGAATTCATGTTGAATGAAAGTTCAAAGTGTTAACGCATTCCATTATATCCACAAGATTAGAAACAAACATTTGTATTAGTTTTGCAAAGCATATCCTGGACTTTCAAAGCGAAGTTTAGCTTTTTAATACATTGGAAATAATTTTTAATTTTTAATTCTAAAAAAATATAAGATTTTAAACTCTGTTTGAAGTTAAATAATCTATTTTTTCTTAAGAATGGGATAAGGCATGTCCAGCGCAAGAATTCTTCGCATTTCTTCATTTTCCTCGCCCGTTGGCGGGATATTTTCAAATGGAACCACGTAAAGTGGACACATGTGCTGTAGAATTCCACATCGTAATTTTGTAGAATTGTTTGGCATTGCACAATGTTGAATCGGCCCGGAGAACATCAAAACGTCCCCGGCGTTAGCGGTCAGCTGTATTGCCTTGCTGAAGAACTCATCAACGTCATCCGGATGGCGGGGAACTATATGGGATCCAGGAACTATTGCGGTGGATCCATTTTCAGGAGTAAACTCGGTGAGAAGGGTTACAACCTGGAGGGAGAGAAGGTTTTCAGGAGAATGATCCATAGAGGTATCTCCTTCAGGCCACATGTGACGGTAGTAGGGATAGTCAAGATGGGGTTTTTGTCCCTTCATGCCTGGCATTACAGTGCTCGATGCTAGACTGGAGAGCCGACAATTCTTTCCCAGGAGTTTTACAGAAACCTCTTTGATAATCGGATGGGATATTATCTTGGAGAATATCTCGCCTTTGGAAAGAAGGCCCCACATAAGCCCGGCAAACTTGTTGTGACTCTCATCATTCCCGTTGTTAAAGTTATTACTTTCTGTATTTATGACTTGTCCGTCAAAGATGGCTCTGGTTGCCAACTCAATGTCTTCGCTTGTAAACATCCCTCTAAGTATAGCCCAGCCAGGTCCCGTGGTTAGCCGTTCACATACCTAGACAACAAATATTCTGTAAATGTTTTCATTTTTATTTTTTGCAAATCCCCCTATCTTTGCATCATGATGGTGTAACAAAAATCGTAGTTTGAAAAAGCAAATATCTACTACGTCGGGTTGCAAAGATGTGGGAATTAAAAAGCCAGAGTTTGTTGCAAGAACTTATTTCTTGAAATAAGATCTCAAATGCCTTTTGTTGAAAATCATTGAAAACCGTTTAGATTTGCATAATTATTAAAAAATGTTTTGAAATCTACAAAGATTAAAAACTTTTAACCGTTTGAAAGGAATCATGAATCTTTGCCACAAACTCAAACTTTCTCATTCCCATATTTTTGTAATCTGATGGTGCACACTTTTAAAATTTTAAACTTATATTAATTGTTCTAACAGAACTCAAAGTTTGAAATATCCAAGGTCTACGACATTGGGTTGCATAAATATAGGGATTAGAAGATCAGAGTTTTCTTTTCAAATCTTAAACCATTTATCAAAATAACATAAAGAGGAGATTTAACCAATTTCAAATAATTTTGAACATCAAGGCTAGAATATCATCTTTACTCTGGTTATTCAATTCTTATTTTAAATTTTGTCAGTGTATATAAAAAAGAGAAATATGATTGAAATTTTACAAAGGAATTGAGTCTTTGCCACAAATTCCAATTTTCTAATACCTATATCTCTAAAACCAGATGGCGTAAACCTTGATATTTTAAACTTTGATTATTTGATCCATCAGAATTCATAGTTTGAAATATCTAGGGTCTACAACATTGGGTTTACAAAAATTAGAGTTTATGACAATGACTCAATTCCTTTCAATTCCGAATTTAATCATTTTTATATTTCAAAAAGACATTTTTTAAAAATAACATGGCAATTTGCAAAAACAATGTTTTGAATATTTTAAAAATTTGAATTATAGCAAAAATCTTCACTGGCATTCTTCACTTGACAGTGTACAATTTTTTAATTGTACCATGAGATCTTTTTCATAATTCTAAATATTTACCAAAACACTGGCAGAAGTGCGATTGTGTCAACACATTTATTGTTGAGCACAAGCTTGTGCGAGCCGAAGAGCTGCAAATAGAACGTAAAACAAATTCAAGTGAATTATAAAAATTTCTATGCTGAAAAACAATGTTCTAAACATTGTGGTTTTTGAAAAAAAAATATTAACAAAGTTTCCACATTTTAGAGCCTATTTTTTACTATCATAATAGAAATGTTTATCTAACAATGCTTAGGATCTCAAATATATTTGTTTCTAGATGGCGTCTAAAATGGCTAAACTTCATGAGCTATATTTTTTGTATTTTTTTAAAAACAAATCGGCTCAAATGTAAGTTTTGTATTTCGTGAAAAAAAAATTTGCTTAAAACATATCAAAATTTCAAAAATGTCAAATTTAAATATATTTCTGACTTACTTCGTCCAGATCAAAGTCTGGTGGATAAACATATTGTGGGTTGGATTCTAGTTTTTGTGCTGGCATCTCTTCTCTCAGGGTCTTGGTCAAACTGAGGACAGGGTTGGAGCGCCGGACCTTATATGCTGGTGGAGACCCTGTCTTAGAATAATCTAGATATAATTCGTCCTTACCTGTAGAATAGGGAACACCAAACCTAAATAAATTTCACGTAATTCTACGTAAGATCTAAATCCAATGTTTTCAATTATAATTTCTCCCTATGAGAGCTGTTAGAAATTAAAAAAATGTTTTGAATTTCTGAAATGTACCCGTATATTTTTCTTCATAATTGTCTGTAAAGTCAAAACTAGAGACGCCAAGAGGTCACAAAGTCCTACCGTCACATAAATTTGACCTAATCCTTCTGAGGGGACTTTCATAACAATACTTGCACAGTCATTCAACGGTTGCAAGCTGTCACGTAAAAATCGATAAGAATTTTGCCAATTACTTCTTAAAAAATAATGCTAAAAACAAGGAGTACATGTTTCATGACACAAAAATATCGAAAACCAAGGTATTGCTACACTTTAAAATCTCCCAGTGCAGTCATGAAAATTGCTTTCTAGATAACAAAGACAAAAATACGGCCGGGAGAATAATTTTTTTCATTCTTAAAAAATGTTGTGACTGGTCTACTTAACGTAAACTGTTATCCCTGCACAAAATCTTCCCCCAAAGGACTAACCAGGACCAGATAGTCCGGGGTGAGATGCGCTCAATTTCTTCTTCTAATTGAATTCAATCCGCATTCTGATCTTCAATTCACAAATCTTTAAATTCATTGACTGGTCTTTTATTGTTTTTATTTAGAACGCATATAAACAGTTTAAAAAGTATAAAGCGGATAAATAGTTGTTTAATAGTTCTTAACTGTCAAGGTTTTAATGCAAGGAAAGTTAATTGCAGTTGCGTATACTCTGCGTACATATTGAAACCAGTTCTCTCTGGGAGGAATTTGTAAACAAGAATAGAAGCATCAGTGTTCGTTCAGTATCCGAGGAGGTTAAAAGCATCAAATTTGATAATTTTGATAATTCACATAATAGTTTCCTATGACCAGAATATTTCATTGATTTTTTTTATGTGAAAGATGGATCCCATGTCAAGGCTTCGACATCCATCCTGTGTTTACATTACCACCAAGAGACAATACACTGCAGTATAAAAGATGCGTACACCTCTGAAATAACTTTCCCTGCATTATAACCTTGTCAAAGATGTTATCAAAATCACAGGACTCAACCTGTAAATCCATGATCCCACCTCCACCTCCCTGGAAATATTCCAGTTGCAAACACAAGGAAAATAAATGTTAAATTCAGTATTTAATTTTACTAGTCTTGCTGTACCCTACATCGTCATCAATCTAGGAACTGGAATAAGTGATAATTAGGACATCGGGCCAAACCTTGCATAAGAAATCTTCACATGAAACCCCGACGTGATTTTTACGGGTACAAACACAAAAACTTATTATTTTAACGTGATTTTGTCGATTGCGTAAAAAAAGCTAGATATACTCTTGCGAAGTTGCGATATTTGGATAAGATTAAAAAATCATATTTTCGTTTGCGCAAAAGCAAAAAGTAAAATGTATCTTTCACAAAAATTGCGCAAAAGTTTTGTGTGTGAAAAGGAAAAATCAGGAAAAAAATAAAATAAATAAATGGTGTTTTGATATTAATTTTTGTAAAGTTTATACACACTTGTGACATTACAAATGCAAAAGTTTTTTTCTCTCTTAATGAAAATTCAATATTTTTTCTTTTTACTGTACTTTGATGATATACTTTTAATTACCATTTAAAAAGAGTTGTATGTTCGATTCACAATGGTACCCTTTAAACTGAGCAACATAAAGAACGATATTCTCATTTTTCTGTCTGGAAACGTGTAAAATTCTGACCATGTCATTTTTCCACTCAGGACCTGTTTTAAGGAGACAATCTTGTATGAAAACTGATAAAGACCAGTATTTTAGAAGAATTATATAGAATCAAGATTATGGCGTTATTTAAGACCCGGTTAATAGAGACAGTATATGATTAGAATACAAGATCATGTCCCTTAAAATGGTAGAAAATAAATTATGTTTGAAAATCGCAAAAAGTTTATTTTAAACACATTTTAAGAAACCGACTGACCCGATCTTAAAGACCTTTGAAATTCAAAACAATGAAATCTATTAGAACAAATAATCTAAGTTAGAAATATCAAATGTTTTTTTAAAACAAAATATCCTTTTTACCATAAATGGTTCACAATTGATATATCATACTGGTTTTCATTATATATCATAATACATGTACAGTTTAAATTTTGTAATATCATTACAACATTGTTACATATGGTTGGTTTCAAGGTAATAATGCAAGGAAAGTTAATCGCGGTCGCGTATACTCTGCGTACATATTGAAACCAGTTCTCTCTGGGCGGAATTTGTAAACAAGAATAGATGCATCAGTGTTCGCCTAGTATCCGAGGAGGTTAAAAGCATTAAATTTTGATAATTTTGAAAATTCACATAATAGTTTCCTATGACAAGAATATTTTATAGATAATTTTTGTGAAAATTGATTCCATGTCAGGCTGTGACATCCGTCTTGTGTTTACTTTTCCGCCCAAAAACAGTGTACTGCAGTAAAAAAAAATGCGTACACCTCTGAAATAACATTCCTTGCATGAGTACCTTGGTTGGTTTTAGAAATATAAATTTCATATACTTCATTTGTGCAGATCAATATATCCGACTTCTTTTATAAGTATAAAATCATATATTAATTCAAGTATCATTAATGGTACTCATGGACTCATGATGGTTATTCAAGTATCGTTAATGGTATCTCATGGACTCATGATGGTTATTCACGTATCATTAATGGTACTCATGGACTCATGATGGTTATTCAAGTATCGTTAATGGTACTCATGGACTCATGATAGTCATTCAAGTATCGTTAATGGTATCTCATATGGACTCATGATTTACTTTTAATTTGTTTTCAGAAAAAGGGCTAAACAGTTTGACCATGGATAAACACGAGAAAGGAAGAACTGTTCTTGAGAGGTGAGTTTTAGACTTCATGAAAATCCAATAAAAGGGACTGTTAGTGTAATTTAAAGTGACCCTTTATGCAAAAGAAAGAATTCCCGATTGACAATGGTACCCTTGAAAGCTCGGTCTTATCAAGTATGAATTAGATTCGAATGTTTATAATTTTGAAAAAAGTTTATTTTGAGGTTCTGCCTCAAAAAATGATTTGCGCAATTCTACTACAGAAATAAATATTGGAATTATCAGAAATAAACCTTTTAAGGGTAAAAATTAGCTCCTTCCCATGCTTAAATATCTTTAATCTGAAATATCTTAAGATCATTCGTTCAGTTAAATCGTTGGTCAAATAAATACGTTGCTTCAGTAAAAAAACGGTAGTTTATTCTCATTCGTTATTAAAAACAACATTTTTCATTTCTCTGAAGGATCCAATTCTCATTGTTCGTTAATATTTCTAGGAAAATTTAGTTCGTTTTGAAATATTTATTTCGTTCACGAAAACGGTTCCCTTGAAAGTTCGCTACACAAAAGCATCAGGTTCTTGCATTTAATATAATACACGTTGAACTTTCATCCTCTCTCATCATTCCTCTTTTGCATTAAATTCTACAATCTTACATCATCACGCAAGGTTATTCATTTTTAGATTGACGTTGTTTTAATATGTTAAAAAGTACATTTTGATGGGTAAAGCGGTAATATTGTATATTGTATATTGTATATTGTATATTGTATATATTGTATTGTGTTAATATGCATTAATTATTTCACTTAAACACTGACTACAGCTGTAAAGTGAGATCTCAATGAAGCGTGGATTTAAGTTGTTTAAATGAACAGGTTTCCGTCGGAATTCCGGATTATGGTTTATGCACGAAAATCATCCGGAATTTGTTTAAATTTCCATTCCGGAACGATTTTCTCCGTAAACCAGAATGTTTCCAGTTTACGGAAAGAACTCCGGAAAGTTTTTTGGTTTTCGGAATGGAAAGGGAGGTTCAATTTATAGATGATTGCATTAACAACGATTTTTCAGCGCTCGCAATTGTTAAAGTATAAATTTAAGAAATAGGCAAAACTAAAATTAAGCCAAATGGAACAAAATTTCGCTTTGAATTATGTATCCTAGTGATTTTGTAATAATAAGGGTGGCAAACAGCCTAAATATGAATTCTCCATACATTCTAGTTTAGTTTTTTTTCGGGCTCGCAATGAATCCTCTTAATTTTTAGGGATGTCGTTAACGGTTTGTGAAGATTGTTCAAAAAACAACTTTTTAATTAGGCGTTTGTTTTTTAACTGTTTGTTAAAGATCTTAACGGCATTAGCAGAAAATATGTTAGAACGCACTCAGTTTTATGCAATTTTAAGTAGAAAAATTACGAAAATCACCATTATTAAAACACTTATTTTTGATTTATCGTTCATTTTTAGTTTGAACGGTTATTTCTGTTTGTTAACGATTTAAAAATTGACGGATTTTACCGATCGTTAACGAACTCTTCTGTTAATTTTTAAAAACTTGACGTTTGTTAACGGAAAATTTGACAGCTTTAGTTCTCGTAAGATTATGAATTAAGATTTAAAGATAAACAAAAGTCAAGTATGGAATGTTTTGCATTAGAACTGGTATTTATTAGTCAATAACTGGAGGAAAAATTTAGTTTTGAGAAGGAAAATTATATAATAATAATAGACCTCAGCTCTGTGACGTGACTTAAAATTATATAATAATAATAGACCTCAGCTCTGTGACGTGACATAAAATTATATAATAATAATAGACCTCAGCTCTGTGACGTGACATAAAATTACCAAATTTCCAATTATGTCAAACAGAATTATGTTATCATTATTTCTTTTGGGATTTAAAGGAATTGAGTTTTTGCCACAAACTCAAAATATTTTAATCCCTATGTCTTTAAAGCTCAATGTCGTAGACCTTAGATATTTCAAAAAATGAATTCTGATGGATCAAATAATCTAAGTTTAAAATATCAAAGCTTTACATCATCTGGTTGTGGAGATATAGGGATTAGAAAATAGGCATTTGTGCCAAAGACTCAATTCCTTTATAATTACAATGCTTAGCCAAATTGAAGTTCGGAATTTTGTATTGTTAATCTTCAATGCTTGATCTAGATATCCAATGATGTCACTTTTAAATTTGAGGATAAAGGCTAGAAAGGCTGTAGATCGACATGGTAAAGTTTAAAAACAGGAATTAAAAGTTTTGTTGAACTAGCAATAAATAATGTTAGAAAAATCGAATTTAAAGAATTTAAGCCTCGGCTCAAATATGGTTGATTCCACTTAAAATTGTATTCAATGTTTAAAGATTTAAGCCCATGCTTAATTGAAACTGTTTTTTTTTGTGGATTTGAGACGTGGCTCAAATTCATTAAATTCGGACTTGGCTATTTTTGATACAAACACACAGCTAAAGCTAAGCGTTGAAAAACGAAACATCTAGATTACATAATTTATATTATATATTTTTTACACATATGTCCTGGGTATTTGGGGCTAAGTCATCATGAAGATTAGTGTACCTATGACTATTTGAGGGGGGTATGATTGATTGTACATTGAGGACATCTCCGATCTAAACCTGTAAACCTGTAAACCTGTAAATCTGTATACCTATTGTTCTAGGTATATGGCTCTAAGTCAACCTGAAGATAAAGTACAGTGTACCTATGTATGGATTGATGGTACAGGAGAACATCTCAGATCTAAAACTAAAACTGTAAACTTTATACCAAAGAGCCCTAAAGGTAAACATATTGGAAAACTATATGAATCGGTCTCACTGCAATAAATTTAGGCAGACGCCCAAGCCGCAATGAAATAAAAGACAGGGAGAAAGTCTGTTCTAGCCGGCCCCTAGCCTGTATTCGTCGCGGTGCTCGCCCCCCTAGCCTATCCTAGCCGCAGCGCTCGGCCCCAAAAAGTATCTTAACCCTACTTATCCCTAGAATATTTCATCTTTCAACTTTCTATTTCAACTTTTAAATGTGGCTTTATCTCTGAGCATCTTCTCTTTGTACAGTATAAAACAAAAACAAAAAAAGTTTTACAAAAATAAAAAACTTTTAATCACAAATTTTTAAAATTTTGATCATTCATAAAGCTTCCCTGGGGTCACGTGAGGTCCCACACAAAATTTTGGCCCGATCGGCTCAGCCGGTTTGACGTTTATTGGATACAAACAAACAAACAAACAGACACCCAGACAAGCTAAATTTTTATATAGATTTTACAGTGCATGATAACCAAAAAACTCTGTAATGGGAAGATGACTTTTAGACTCCTGTTATGACTTTAAATTAAATAGTCCAATAATTACTGATTTAATAAGTTATTAAGTAAATGTATTTGCTTTGTTACAGCATCAAATACACTTAAGTATTGCTATAAAGTCGTCTTCTGATTTAGAGTTTTCTTTGATTAATTGGGTTTGTAAAATAAAAAAAGTTTTTTTTAATTACTAGAGCTTCCTGTTTGGAATTTTGACGGGAGTTCAACCTACCAGGCAGAAGGAAATAATACTGATGTCTATCTTCATCCTGTAGCATTGTACAGGGATCCTTTTAGGTTAGTTTATGTACATATGTACATGTGTCTTGTGTACATATGTACATGTGTCTTATGTACATATGTACATGTGTTTTGTGTACAATTTTCATCCTATAGCATTGAACAGGAATCCTTTCAAGTTAGTTTATGTACATATGTACATGTGTCTTGTGTACAATTTTCATCCTGTAGCATTGTACAGGGATCCTTTCAGGTTAGCTTATGTACATATGTACATGTGTCTTGTGTACATATGTACATGTGTCTTATGTACATATGTACATGTGTTTTGTGTACAATTTTCATCCTGTAGCATTGTACAGGGATCCTTTTTGGTTAGTTTATGTACATATGTACATGTGTTTTGTGTACAATTTTCATCCTGTAGCATTGTACAGGAATCCTTTCAGGTTAGTTTATGTACATATGTACATGTGTCTTGTGTACAATTTTCATCCTGTAGCATTGCAAGTTTATAAACATGTGTAGTGTGTAATTGTTTATCCTTTACATAAGTGAGGACCATTCTTCGCCAAAAACTAAAAGAAAACTTAAATATGTAAAACCAAATTTTCGTAACATTTTTCATTTCGCGTTTTTTTCCACGTACACATTCTAAAAAAGTTAAAATATTTAAAGCTTGAAAATACAAAACTGAACAAATTTTTCAAAAACATACTTAATTATCCGGGAAATTTTTGAACTTTAAATCAAATTATCAAAACACACCTGAGCTGAAAACTTTAGAATAGTGGATATTAAGATTAATGCACTTGAACCTTGTTTTTTCAAGATAAAAAACTTTATCTTCCATATCAAATGAAGGTTTAAAAGTATATCGTTGTAAATCGATATATCTTTAAACGATATGTCACTTTAATTTATATGTCACTTTAAGTGATATGTCACTTTAAGTGATATGTCACTTGAGGTGATATGTCGTTATGAATGATATGTCACTTAAGGTGATATGTCGTTTTAAATGATATGTCACTTTAAGTGATATGTCACTTTAAGTGATATGTCACTTTAAATGATATGTCACTTTAAATGATATGTCACCTGAGGTGATATGTCCTTTTAAATGATATGTCACTTTAAGTGATATGTCGCTTCAAATGATATGTCACTTTAAGTGATATGTCAATTTAAATGATATGTCAATTTAAATGATATGTCAATTTAAATGATATGTCACTTTAGGTGATATGTCAATTTAAATAATATGCCAATTTAAATGATATGTCACTTTAAGCGATATGTCAAATTAAATAATATGTCAATTTAAATGATATGTCACTTTAAGTGATATGTCAATTTAAATGGTCACTTTAAGTGATATGTCACTTTAAATGATATGTCACTTTAAGTGATATGTCAATTTAAATGGTCACTTTAAGTGATATGTCACTTTGAATGATATGTCACTTTAAGCGATATGTCAATTTAAGTGATATGTCAATTTAAATGGTCACTTGAAATGATATGTCAATTTAAATAATATGTCAATTTAAATGATATGTCACTTTAAGTGATATGTCAATTTAAATGGTCACCTTTAAGTGATATGTCACTTTAAATGATATGTCACTTTAAGTGTACGTCAATTTAAGTGATATGTAAATTTAAATGGTCACTTTAAGTGATATGCCACTTTAAATGATATGTCACTTTAAGCGATATGTCAATTTAAGTGATATGTCAATTTAAATGGTCACTTTAAGTGATATGTCACTTTAAATGATATGTCACTTTAAGCGATATGTCAATTTAAGTGATATGTCAATTTAAATGGTCACTTGAAATGATATGTCACTTAAGTGATATGTCACTTTAAGGGATATGTCACTTTAAGTGATATGTCACTTAAGTGATATGTCACTTGAAATGATATGTCACTTAAGTGATGTGTCACTAATATAAATACAGTCCTTCAAGTCCGATTCTTTCCAATATGGATACACTTGTGTGTTGCTGAGTGTACACTTGAAAATGCCAAAGTTTTTTCAGCAATTTAGCATTACTTTCCTTTGATATAAATAGCATCCATATCAATTGTTTAAAAAGCAAATTATCTTCTCTTATGAACATTATTAAGTACCAGAATCACCTTATAATAAACAAATATGCAGTACGCTCTCGGTATAGTTTATGGCCTATATAATTAGTAAAGGATTAGCGTACATCATCACTCTATACACTATAACCTCGTTGGATTTTACTTTCTGATCAACTGTTAGGCAAAGCTTTAAATGTTTATGTTTTTTTTTCATAAAATCCAAATATAGTATATTGAGATAAAAAGTATTAAATATTTAGATTCTAAACTATTTTTATTTAAATAATGTTCCCGGGATTTAAAAGAAAATCTAGAAATCTAGCAATTTAATTTGATGACACAATATCATTCCATTTAAACGCTTGACTTTATTATTATAACCTGCATTTTTAAATGAGGGGCTTCGCGCCATCTTTTCTTTTAACAATTTTAGACTTTAGCGGTTGCTCTGAAAGTCGCCATTTCTATTCATTTTCAAAATTTTGCGGATTTTACTGTCTAAAATGGTACATTTTCAAAAAAAAGTACAGTTTTTCTTGTCAAAATTTTCAATTTCAAATTTTTAATTTTTAGGGTCCATAGAAACAGTCTTGGGGTCATGTTAGTTACCGTAACAATTGGAACTGCGGAAATACAAATGCAACAGATGCAAACTAAAAGGTCCACTTGTAGAGCAGTAAAACAATCTGCATTGAACTAGTATTTCTTGACATCAGTTTGGACATACTTCCCACGGTAAACTTTTTCCCACGGTAAACTACTTCCCACGGTAAACTACTTCCCACGGTAAACTACTACCCACGGTAAACTACTACCTACGGTAAACTACTTCCGGTAAACTACTTCCGGAATTGTTTTTCACTTTTTCTTTTTTTACCGATGTTTTCGCGATACCTTCATCTTTTCTTAAAGAATAGTTTATTAGATTATTGGATATTTTGCTGATATTTCTTGAATTGTCAGTATATTTTTTTGTCTGAAAAATGTGTAAACCCGAAAATTTGAATTCTTTTAACAATAAATAATCTTAAAGAAATTGAGCCTTTGCCAAAATTCTGAATCCTACATCTTTGCAATGTCGTAGCCTTCATATATTTCAAGCTTTGAATTATGTTAGATCAAATAATCTAAGTTTGAAATACCAATGTCATCTTGCAAAGATATAGGGATTTTACAATTTGAGTTTGTGGCAAATACTCAATTCCTTTATATTAAGAAAAGAAGAAAAAGTGGAGTTAAAAAGAATTAGAGTTGTTTTTTCATGTTTATCTCCAGTAAAATCTGCAAAACAATATGATTATTATCATAAATATTTATTTACATTACACACTAAACAAGATATTTTTGAATACTTATCGGAAAACACATTTTTTGAATAAACAGATTTTTGATCTTTAGTTTCTATTAATTCATCTACTCCGTAGATATTATATAATAATAATAGACCTCAGCTCTGTGACGTGACATAAAATTA